TATATATCTATATAATATATAGATATTTGTAAAATACACGTGCAGATTTGATAGAACAAACTGTGGAAATAGCTTTCTCAAGTCTTTTTTTCCCATGAACAGATCTTTATCTCCTACACAAGGAATTTCAGGATTCAACAAGGATTTCCACAATATGATCAAGCTCATTAAGATCAGATTTACAATTAGAGTTAGAAGTTGTTGTTGTTGGAGAAGAAAACGTCTCAAGCCCATCACAGTGTCCCATTTTTGTGTTGCTCATCATGCCTGTTAACATAGTATCAAGATCATAGTAAGAATTGTCAACTTCTGAAAACAGATCTTCAACAGAATTGGGACTTTTATTCTCCAGTGTCTCAAATATTTGATCTAATGATTTTTGAAAGTTTCCTTTATTTTCTTGTGGATTCTCCATTTCCCACACATTGCTCTGCAGGTTTCTTGGAACTTGCACTGAAGAGGCTGTTGACATAGTTTCTGAACTATCTTGTGCCTGGTCACCCTCAAAGTCTTTATTGAAAGTACTATAGCCCGGAACATGCTTTCCCTCAGCTTGTTCTCTAGATGAACGACAGAGGATATCTGTTGAAACAAGACGATCCAGGGATGCCTGCCCTGTACTCTGGGTATTTATCATCTGCCAAGTCCCATCTTGAGTCATTTCCTCTTGGATCTGCCGTACCGTGTTGGCTATAAGTACCGAACGACAAAGGTTAGGTTCAACCAGCATGTGACACAGCTGAAGTTTAACCAAGGACATATCTAAAAGTGACTGCCGCTGAAGATTATATGAAGGAATAGCCTTAATACCAGCCAGAGTTCCTTCAATATCTTCTTCGCCATCAAAACATTTTCTCTTTAATCCTCGCACAAACATTGTGTCCTGTTAAAAAAAAAAAAAAGAAAAAAAAAAGAAAAATTCTTGTACAATGTAAGCAGCTCAAGGGGGAGGGTAAAAAAAAGACTAAAAAACAAACCAGAAGATTTTAATCTTAAATTTAAACAGCAAATTCTTTTAAGATAGAAACATCAGAATTGTCATACCAGGTTATAGAATGGCCAGTGTGGTACAACGGGGGTCAGGAACACATGGACTGGGTCCCAAAGACGGCACTCTGGAACCAGGGCTGAGCAGGTCCACAACTCATGGCATCGGAGAGAGGCAGGGCTTCCCAGCTCCTGGCTCCCATTAAGCTCCATACTTGATGGAAGTCAGGAGCCGCTGCTTCACACAGAAGCAAACTTCTCAATGGCTGTATTTCACCTATTGGAGAGGCAGTTTCTCTCGCTCCTCCCGAGTTTCTACTGGCATGCTTAACCTCTAATTTTGGAAATAAAAATACAACCTGGCACACCATCTTTAAAAGATTTGACCCCTCCAGAACATCAACATGTCTAACAGAGTGACATAAAAAAATACTGTGGGCAACATACTTGAAAAGGTTAGCTTATTTTCGCTACAGGGAGAGTAAAATCTAAATTTGTTCCTTATAACTTGCGAGATTCAACTAAGGTGCCTAAAGCAGTCCTTCTGGTTCCCTGACTCAGGTGAGTAACTGAGCTGTGTAATTCCAATATGAATCGTTCAAGTCCAATAAAGATAGGCACAGTCATCTTCTGTATGGGCTTCTGTACTTCTTTCCCAGTTGACTATAAGAAAGCAAAATTCCCATATTCCTAGTTTAGGTTCACCAGCTAAAAATAAGTGGGCTACATCCAGGCTTCTCATTATTTACATCTAAAACTCACTTGCTGAATTTTCCAAGGTATGACTTTCAAGTACTACCTCGAGATCTTCTTCTGAATTGCAATAATTTTGACAGTGCCCCATGCAAATATTGCAGCTGATCTCCTGAAATACAAAGTAACTTTTTTTTTTTTAATGTAGATGTCACTTCTTTTAGTCTTATAAAAATCAGGCTGCAAATGAAAGCTAGTATCTGATCTTTGTATTTATACACCTTTGTTACATCCCTTCTAAGTCTTCTGTCCTTAGAATTCCCGTTTGCCCAATATTTGGGGATTTTTTTAAATGTAGTGACCCGAACAAAACAAAGTTTTTCAACCAAAAGCTGACAAAACCAAAATACTATTGCACTGTCTTTCTATATAATTTTCCATTTCCCTTGGTCAGCCCTAACCTCTGCCTTGCTTTTCTGGATGCTATGGTATGTTCCACATATTTTCAGAGGGCTCTCAGCTTTTTCAGAGTCACTGAAAATCCACCGAAGTGCAACAACATTGTTCCTTTCAAAACACATTACACACTTATCTACTCTGCAAACCTGGGGATAGCACAGTAGCTAGATAAACATTTGGTGTGACTCTGTACAACACTTCTTACATTGCTGTATATATCCATGAAATAACCTTTTTTTGGATTTGCCGACTCTTAAAGATTTGTTTCCACTGAAGGTACAAAACTCTTTAGCAATCATAATATGCAGAAACCATAATACGCAGATACTACAATACAGAATACATGAACTTGGTCTTATGGTCATTTTTCATAGACTTCCTCAAAGCTATCCATGGATTACCAACATATTAAATGCTTTTGAAGTTTCTTTTAAAATTTTCTACTGTAACCTAACATATTTGCATTATTCCCATTAAAAACAACCCAAGTTTTTGCTTGATAGTGCCTTTTCCAGATTTTTAGGTATTCCTGCAGCTTCCTATCAGAGGATATCCCATTTAATTTTTCCTACAAAGTTGTATGTGCAGTAATTTCTAAACACCCCTTCCCCCCCAGTGTGAAACTTGACCTCTAGAGACATCTTTTGGGACTACTAATCAACCATGTATGATTATATCAGCAAACATTAAACATTCTGTGCAGAGTTTGAAGCTTCTTTTATTTCAACTTATATTTTTGGGAAGAATAATTAAAACTTCAGTTGAATGTGAACCTGGTTTTCATATCTCTACTATTCTAAGGCACACCAACAGAAGAACAGAACGCATCAGAAAACTTGAAAACCTCAATCCATCACACACACTTGGGTGTGTAGAAGCAGATTAAAATATGTTTACAGATTCTTAAAGGTAAACCTTTCACAGCGGTCACTGGATTTTTTTTCTGTAACACTTTGTCATGGCTTAACCCCAGACAGCAACTAAGCACCATGCAGCCGCTCACTCACTCCCCCCCGAAGGGATGGGGGAAAGAATCAGCAGAGTAAAAGTGAGAAAACTCATGGGTTGAGATAAAGACAGTTTAATAGATAAAGCAAAAGCCACGCGCGCAAGGAAAGCAAAACAAGGAATTCATTCACTACTTCCCACGGGCAGCCAGGTGTTCAGCTATCTCCAGGAAAGCAGGGCTCCATCACGTCTAACGGTTACTTGGGAAGACAAATTCTGTAACTCTGAATGTCCCCCCCCTTCCTTCTTCTTCCCCTGGCTTTATATGCTGAGCATGACGTCATGTGGTATGGGATATCCCTTGGGTCAGCTGGGGTCAGCGGTGTCCCCTCCCAGCTTCTTGTGCACCCCCAGCCTGCTCGCTGGTGGGGTGAGGTGAGGAGCATAAAAAGCCTTGACTCTGTGCAAGCACTTCTCAGCAGTAACGAAAACATCCCTGTGTTATCAACACTGTTTTCAGCACAAATCCAAAACGTAGCCCCATACTAGCTACTATAAAGAAAAATAATTAATTCCAGCCAAAACCAGCACACAGTTACTTCCAATTAGTATCTTACATCATAAAAACAGTGAGTCGCCCTGTTCCTGAGACTGCACAAAATACTAGATTACTGTTTCAGTTAAGCAAAAAAATACATACCAGTAATTGTGTTTGATGTAGTCCTTCCTCTTCTCCCATGCTACTGAGCAAGAGTCCATACAGTAAAAGTTAGAGCACTACCTACCAAGTACAAGGAAGCAAGATGTCAGCCAAGTACAGGAGATGCAGAACAAAATAGTTTCCCATTTCAGAAACTTATACACCTCTATATTTTGTCAATTGCTTCAGTATCTCTATCCTCACAACACTTCTACAAACTTGAATATTACTGTTAAGCCAAATATACGGCTAGAGCACAAAGGTGATTTGCCGAACAATGCACACAAAATCTGTGGCAGGAGAAGGAAACTGCCAGTTTAAGTCCAAGTCCTAGGCCACTACCCTGACCTTTGGACCAGCCTCTCCCTTATCCCTACACCTCTGCAATTTAAAGAGCAAACAAAATCTTTAGCAATCATCTGAAAAATTTAAACGCGCACAAAAGCATACTGAAAGCAAGTGTTCATTACTTTTATCACAAAACTATACAGTTTTCATCTTTCTTGTACAAAACCATGTATCTCTGTAGCATCTAGAGAAAAAGAGCAAGCACGCACAAATACAAAACTGAAACATAGCAAAACCAGGGAGAATTTTCCTTTACCAGCACAGAAACTTTATGACTAAGATTTACTTTGCAAGATGACAATAATGAAAGTAATGACAGCAATTAAATTGTTTTAATTATAAAGGCTTGAGTTTTTAAAACACATTTAAGGCAAAATAAGATTTGATACACCAAATACAACTACTAAACACATGCAACAATTCCTTTAATTACTGAAACCTAGAAGAATGCTCTGTTTCAACAGGCTACAAAAACTTATACGATAAAATATGAAAACAATTCAGATACTTTTCTAGACATGTCTGTACAGTACAAGACAGCTCAGTGTCTGCAACTGAAGTACATACCTAGAAGAGAAACAAGTAAAGAGGATGCATATGGACATCTATTTTTGTTTTCTATTGTGGTTCGTAATAAAAAGTTTTTGGAGAGTGCTTGCTCTCAAAATTGGGGGGGAAGGAGATGGTTGACAAAGGACTTGGAGGAGGGGCAGAAAACATGTTTTTCTCAAGAAGCTGTATACTTGTTAAAATACCACAACAAAAAACCCCACCTTAAACACTCTCAAGCCAAACTCTTTTGACTCGATCCCAAAATATTCAGACTAAAATGCCATTATGTCATGGAAACTGTATTTCAACCGACTCATAGTCTCATTCTCTTTTACAGTCTGAGCTCACAGCAACATTCAAGACACGGTCATGAGGCGTATGAAATACAACTCCAGCGAGACACCATAATATCAAGTCAATAAAGTATTTCTTATTTCTGTCAAACACCTTGATGCTATAAAAGTTCAGAAGTTTTTGCTCCACGGGTATACTTTCAAAACACTCTCAATGACGGGCAATCTCTTTGAGAGCCTGTATACCGTAACTCTTTGAATCCCCAAATTCCTACTAGATACACTTTTAGTTTAGGGTAGGTGACAAGGACATAAGCTTTGTTTAAAACAACCCAGCCAAACAAAATCCCACAAACCCCCCCACAACAACTACAGATAAAGATGATGCAGTCACGAGAACAATAAATGAAAATATTTTCTGGTGTTATTTTGGATATCTGGCGATTTTAGAGGAAGATGCTTTGACCGTTTGCCTCCCAAAATAGCAGACTGATAGAGGAGGGGACCGTTGACGGGAACGCACGAGTTCTTTGTAAAAGACGCAGGGCTTGTTGGCAGACCAGTCCAGTCTGTAATCTGTTAGCATACTACAGAAGAAAAGAGTTTTCCCATGCAATATTATAACATGCAAGACCTGCTGCATGTGATTCCAGGTTCTTCCCTAGAGCAATAAACAAACCATGTGGACCTCTGTTAACATAAAGAATATGCCCATCACAGCAATTATTTCTTCAGATTCTATTAGCTGGCATAAAAGCATGCCTCAGAACCTGAGTTCTCAGTAAAAAAAAAAAAAATTAACTTCATAGCCATAATCAGATGCAATTAAAACCTTGCAAATAAACAACCTTCCCCAGTTGTCCCTGCACTACCTCCAACAAGCACTCATCTCAAGAGAATACTAAATTTAAAACCGAATTAATTAAAGTGTAAGTATGTTTCTCTACTGATTTAGATATTAACATACTCAAAAAGGTATTAGCCATTGGGTAAAACCTCTTGGTACACGACAGCAAGATTGCTGCTGCTTTAGAAACAAGGTATTCAAAACTCCCCAATAATTTCAAGCAGCATCTGTCTCTGTCCAAGAGGCAATATCTAGACTAGCTATATCATGTCCCTTCTTCCACTACCATCTGAGTGTCAAGAACCCAAACTTAGTGGGTTAAACTTAAATGCTGTTTGAAATAGCTGTACAAAAAAGCTCTCAAGGAGACAACAGCTATCTGTAGCATAATACAGTATGAAAAAAGGAATTTTTCTGAGTTTTGTTGGGGTTTTTGGTTTGTTTGATTTTTAATAGTAGCACAGGGAGGAGAGTATTATGCAATTCATTAAGTTTTGCTTTTGGGATTGACAAATTCCCAGTCTGCTTTACGAATAAGGTGCTTGAAATTTGATCCAATTCTTACTAGACCATCAACTTACACATTCCAGGTTCACACTCAATTCAGATTCATGTAGTAATATGCTGCCAAAAATATACTTAAGTACCTAAGGGAAACAGAGTTTCTAACTCTTCCCCAGAGTTTGGGGAACAGAGAAGATAGGAGATTTTAGCACTGTTCATCTTCAGGAGAAAGCAGACAAAAACTACCTATGCCAGTGCTGGAGGCTCACTTAAGCAGGGGATTTTTTTCTTTTTGTACAGCTGTAAGCATAGTGATGATGGGTAGAATGGGAAGGTAAGAAGGTATTGTAGCTCCCCTCTACCACTCTAACTGCTCCCCCACAATTGTCCTTTAGAACAACTGTGTGAAGAAATTAAAGCTATGTGTAACGGTGAGAAGAAGATGAAAGTCAGGTACTCCTCTTTTAAGCATGCATGTGGGTGTATGGTGGTGTTGAGTTATAAGGTCAGCTGCAGAGCAGAAAGCTGGTACGGCCAGAAACATCCCTATTCGCACTGGGACAAAGGCACTTATAAAGCAGCGGGGTCTGGTCCGCCCCCGGGCGTAGGGGGCTGGCAGGCACCTCTCCAGGACACGAGGGCTTCGGGAAGGGGCACCAGCTCCCGAGGAAAGGCGGGCTGGGAAGCTGGGGCAGCCGCACGCCCAGGGCAGGGGCGACGGCAGGCGGTGCGCGGAGCAGAACGCCCGTGGAAACGCAGACGACG